GCTGATACGCCCCGACAGTCCGTAATGATGAGGAGTGTAGGTGCCTATCGTTTTGATCGCCCAAATCGTTTCATTCCTTGATGGGCTGTGTACATATTTCAATGTTGCACGCAACATACGACGACTTTGCGCAGTGTGTTGGAGAGCAGCGCGTGGTTGTCACAAATTTCTTTAGCAACTGTTCTCAGTTCCTGTAGGACTCCCATACTTTTAACAAATTTCCAAAGTTTGAATGGTTTTTTTTGTTGTCACTGGCCGCTCAAAAAAGGAACCCCTCAAAATAAAATACACCTTCAATCGCGCAGTCTCTCTCCATGCCGTTCGGGCAGACTGCGCAGTCCGATGCTCCACATGTGCGACTGCGGAGACTGTTTCGAGAACTAGATCGCGTTTCAAATAGTTGGGAGGAGTCTTCACAAGCTCAACGGAACTTTATATAACTGATCTTCCTGTGATTTGAAGATTTTGTTCTATCAAATTGAAATTATTTACGATGTGATTGATTAGAAACCATTGAGTAAGTTCGAATACAATGGAAGGCGTTCGACAAAAAAAAAACGCAGATGCGATCGGAGAATCAATGGATGATGGAACTCCTCAAAAACTCCACCAATTACTGAACGGCTGGCGTCAATTCACCAACGAAAGATTCAGATTTAAGACTGTTCAGTTGGTGTTAAGAACTTTTTGCAAACTAATAACCACCAGGTTGAACTTGGTTTTGCCGCCTAGAATGACGTTGCCCCGGCCGTCCGATGCTTAGTGGGAGTGGCTTGTTCTTTTTCCTTCGGCTGGTTCTCTCGAACCTCGTTTGTTTTTTCTGCTACTTCATTCCCGCACATTGGTCATTACTTCGAATTCTACGATTCATCGATTCGCGCTGTGCTCGCATATTCGTTCATGTTTCCCTTTCGCTAGTTATGAACGCAGCTTCACCAGAGGTCGTCAAAATTTTGGGTGAATCCGTTTCTGCAAGATAGATATAGACAATGAATAGGGATGTACATCACGAAACATTTAAAGCTTTTGAACTAGTCGAAGCTTTGAAGCCACGGAACATTCAAAGTTTTTGAACTAGTCGAAGCTTTGAAGCCGGCTTCATTTATAGTGGGGGAAATTGTTCGATTTTCAAATACTCTTATGATTACTTTAGCTCAACAGAAACAGTTGTAGTGCATAGCGCGGACAAGGCATGTGGGGGAGGTTCACTGGAATCCAGTGGCGGCCGTCTTCTCCCATTATTGCATGGTCGAGCTAGCGAAGAGTGCTGGAGAATGCCGCCGCCGGGCTCCACTCCTCTCTTCGCGCTATATGACGCGCGCTTTATTCATCGTTTTCTGAGGGGTCACCTCAATAAGCGACAAACATCTCCTCAAGCTTCGGGAAAACGTAAGCGATGGTAGCCTTGCAAAACACTAAGTGTCAAATGTATGCGCTATAACATGAGGAAGTCGTGGATAGTGTTGCATTTCCCAGCCAGATTTCTCATAAGAAGGACGTGCAGTCGAGATAACGCATGGTATAGTGTAGTGCGCTGCGGACGGTTGGGCGTGTCAGGCAGGATGATTTCGGCACGGTGCTAAACCCGTTTTCCCCTAGTTGTCAAAGCGAGCAATTGATATGACTGTATCATATTGACGTATTGCTTGTTTTCTACCATTTTCTTTCGCATGCGCACTTCAACAAGAAGGCAGAGAACGGCTTTAATGGGCGTGCACACTCATACTGCTTGACACACCCAACCGTCAGCAGCGAACTAGAGTGTATGTCAGATTCAATTCCACTCAGTTGAGAAGAGTGACGATTAATTTTTTTATTTTAATTAATGCTGTTGTGATAAACTGGAAAGACCTCATCACTGAAACGCTATCTGGGAAGGTTCTCTTCAATGTTTCTTGCTCTCCCCTAGGGGCAGCCATGGCTCCTCCTCTGATGAGTGGAATACATAGAATGTAAGCTTTTGTTCAGATTTCCACAGTGCCGCAGGACCAACTAAGCACAGTCAGCGCCTTAAACTTGTCTCAAGGTGCGTTTCCTATGACTATTATTTTCCTGAATGCCATTATTGATGTTTCTCAGGATCTTCGCACACTCCAAGACGCCCTGTTAAATTTGACCGCTTTCCCCGCCATAGCCGGCCAATTTTCAACACAGTGAAAACGTTGGAGACGATCACACCTCACAAAGGCGACTTCCGGTGTGTATACCAAATCAAGCATTGTAAAAGACCTCGAGATATGAAAAACTGGAGAAAGTTATCTCCAGGTCCATACTATTTTCGAAATTTCTACAAAGCGAACGGCTGAGTAAACTTGTCGAGGAAACCGTACCGCCTGCGAAACGAATGGTAACATGCGAGTGTCAAACTGACGAAGATCCTAAGGCTGTCGTGCAATGGCAAGACAAAGGTACTCTTTCATCGGAGCTATGATAACTATGTTAGGTGCAGTTTTCCTTCCAGGGAATTTTGTTTACTCACATCGTTTATTGCTCCACGATTACGTGCAAAACCTTGAAAAACTACGCAATAGATTCGTTGTCCCTTGACAAAATTCTACAGGCTTCGTGAGATGTATAATTTGACAGGAAGTAGCAAAAGAAGCTATGGAACTAGCAAGCAAAAGGCTGTGTGTCAAAGCGTAGTTGCACATCTGAAGACCGCATAGGTGTCGTCTATGGCGACGTCGTTCGTCGCCACGGGTAGGTCGAAGTACGTCGTGGTGGCAGCAATACTCAAAGTGCTGATACACCTGGGAGCTTTTCTTGGGAGGATGTCGCTTTTGATCGCTGGTTAGGAGGGATTGCAAGCGCAGACTCACACAATACAAAACTACTGATGTTCTCACTGACAAAGCCTTCATGTGATCACAGGCAAGCGCCGTGAATGTACACTGGTGTGCAAAACTTAGGGACGGGATGGATAAAGTAACATAAGACACTAATGACTGGGTGGAAGTAAATGAAAGTGTGGGAGCAAGTTGCCACTCGCCTAAGAGATATGCAGGAATGTCCAGGAAGCTGGACACTTCTCGGTGGAAGAAGAGCTTGAATAAAGTGCCAAATATGGCCGACCGCACAAATCGAGGCAGTCTATGGGTATGGAAAAAAAATTTTTCTCAATCAACGAGTAGCTGCAAAGAACTGTGGTAGTATCCTTTGATACATCATGTCCCGAAGAGAGCATCTGGATGACTTCACTCGAGGAAGGATCATAGGGAAACTGAAGAAGGTCGAACCATGACGAGTGTAGCCCAGGAGTTCGGTATCGCTCACAGCGTTGTTTCACGTGCATGGAGAGCGTTCCGAACCTTTGGTACTGCTGCCCGAAGACGAGGAGGTGGCCGACCAAGGACAACTACACCAAGGGACGACCGCTACATTGTGCAGCAGGCAAGAAGAGATCCTCGTCAGTCGGCTTCGGCTATTGCAACGACGTTTAACAGGACTCTAGGGCAAGCCATCTCACCACTACAGTGGCAAGACGACTGCATGGTGGTGGTCTCCTCGCCCGACGACTGTTACGTTGTGTTCCTTTGACCCCCGCGCATCGGTGAGACCGTTTACGGTGGTGCCAGAAGCATGGCGAATGGACCGATGAGGGATGGAACCGTGTGCTCTTTTCGGATGAGAGCAGCGTTGTGTGTTGTTTTTATGGACGCACCCTCATATGGCGAGAAGTGGGACACGCAACTCTTCCGGAAACAATGTAAACGTGATCGTAACGGTGGTCGAGGTGTTATGGTATGGGGAGGCCATCATGTTGCATTGGCCGTACTGACTCCAGATTTTTGAGCATGGAACCCTCACCAGTCAACGTTACTGCGACGAGGTTCTCCTACATCATGTCCGTTTTTTTCAGAGCTGCAATCGGCCTGACTTCATTTATAGATAACAATGCGAACCCCATCGAACAGCCCAGGTGGAGGAGCTTCTAGACGAGAGGATATCCGGCGAATGGAGCGTCGCCCCCGTTCCCCGACCTAAATCCCATCGAGCACGTATGGGATGCACTGGGTAGACGCATTGCAGCACGACCAAATGCACCAATGACGATCCAGCAATGTCAATGATACAATGCTGATTGGGAGTGGAATGTCCTGTGGAGTAAATGCCTGCTCCAAAAATCATTACCAACCTCGTGGGAGGTATGGGATCCGCAGAGCAGAGCATGTATTGCTGTCCGTAGTGATCACGCCACCCTATTAGGATCCGTGTAACTTCTTTTGTAGTACCAGGATAAATCGTGAAGACTTATTTGTAATCGACATGGTTTGAATAAAATGTCATAAAACAATTCGTCTTATTCCGAGTTTCTGTCAATTGCTTTCTGTGTAATATCGTAAAGGCACTCTCTTGATATGATACGAATTTCATCGAGCTATATTGTCTGGCAGAGGCCAGCAGTGATCGAAAGTTGCTTTCGTCCCTAAGTTTTGCACACCAGTGTATATTGTGAAGAGCGACGTTCAGTCACATACCTGTAGTCGCAAAATGACTCTTTGTAGGAAAAAGAAGCAAAAGTGGCAGAGAACACCTAAGCGGGACTTGCAGCCTTTTGGGCGACTTTCTCGGACCTGCTCATTTCAGACCACAAAATACCTGCCGCCTCCCGCTCGCTGATTGTTTCGTCGCGTCATCCATTTCTAATTGCCATCTGAAATTAAAAAAAAGCAAAAAACCGGTGTGAGATCGGAACTTGGTGACAGAGATACCCTTTGGTTTTGGGGCGGTATTGTAGGGAAGTGTCAGAACTGTCACTTATGAGGGCCGCAACGCCTTCGTACCAATGTGAATCGCGAAAAAGGATATTGCTAGACACTGAGGACCAGACTACTTGTGCAAGGAAGGGCGCCTATGAAACGAAGACCTTATTCAAGTGCGCGGATCTCGCTTCTGATGATACGGCCGTGCACGCCGCGCGAAGGATCACGCCTATTGTGAGGCTGCTCGTCAGTTACAGGCGCTAGGAAAGCAAGCTCAATGACGAACCAAACAAACAGGACTCTTTGCATGCAGACTTCAAGACAAATGGCGTACCTCCTGAGCATGTCCTCAGGCCCCCTTTGTTGCTGATGCGCTGGTTCAAGTCGAGAATTCTCGATTTTTCATCACGGACTGTACAAGCCTGCGTGCATGCTTTCATTTCAGTTCACTGACTTTAATTTCAGAAACATCGAAGTCGCTTTCGAGTTCCCGTTCTCGATCGCCCGGCTTCGATGAAGACTCACTGCTCTCGGCTGCTTTTTGTGACCTTCATTTCGACTGCTCGTCGAATGATTTGCGAATGGTTTCACGGCAGCATTCCAGCTTTTCCGTTTTGAAGGTTAGGCAGGACCTGGTCTCTATATTTTTTGATTCATTATTAGTTGCAGACTCTTTCAGTATTGGTTGAAAATTCTGCTAAGATTTTTTTTATTGCAGCTGGAGGACGATGAACCGTTGTTGCCTAGCAAGTTGGTTCGGCCAATAATGGTGTCTAGGCGAACATCAACAAAGGTTTTGAGTTCATCTTTAATTGAGATTTCCTGAGGCTACTACGAGAAAAAGGCTTACTTCTATATTGAACTGCTATGAGCAGATTACTGAACGACGCTTCCACGCTTTTATCTTCCAACCAGTGTACGTAGTGTGTCGGTTGGAGTGTGTGTACTGGTTTGAGGGTGCAGAGTAACGTTACAAATATTGCTATGCTCTCAATTAACCATCTAGCAACTTTAGCATTTCTGATACTTAGCCCTTGCGAATGGCTGTTGATTGTCAACTGCTTTGCTATTCTCCCTGTTAGTCCACTGTTCGTTCCTTGTCTGTGTGCAGTAGGGCAAGGCGCCATGCTATGACATACTGCATCTCAGAATCTGGTTGAAAAAACGTAAAGGGAATGGGCTCTTGCTTCATTCCAAGATAAAATAAGAAAGGCTGTGGTGAAATCGAAGCGGTAATAGCACTAACGGTGAATGCACTTCGTCTTCTTCTTTATTACCTCGATGATCTCTGCATAATTTCACGCCGCTTGCTCCACACACAACTGTGGACGAGAACTATTTCAAAACTATTGCTTACTACAATTACTTTTCCTACTTCATTGCACCATACTTTATCGGTCTACATCCTTGCAAAGAATTCGAGGACACTCTTCGACTCGTATACGACTGGAATCGGAAAAATACCAAGAACCGATCCATTCCCAGTTGTCATGTTCCTGTGAAGTTTAGTGTGGATCGGCTTTTTATTTTCATTGCTGAAATCAGTCAGCATCCACTCTGCCATTCTGCGCTCTGATAATCAGTCGTATGTAGCGTCAGAAACCAAGCATCTTTGAGAACAATACATAAAATATACACAGAAATAGAGGAAGTCCTAATTAAACGAATTCCGATAGTTTTAGCTGGCAAATCCATTAGATAACATGTTGTAAAGAAGAGTTTTCAGGATCTTGTTGCAGTTTTTGCAGGTGGTGCTGAAAAATCGCTCATTTGCTTCGTCACCCTCCTCTATGGACCGATCAGGTAGAGGGCACCCATCGTGCTCAAACTTAAGGTCAGGCATCACTAGCTCAAAGTGGAGATTGTGCTAGGGTTTTGGGTGGACCGATCTACCCAGGCACTGGTTGATCTGTCAGCCCTAGCGCGATGCATGCTGCTACAGAAAGCTGCGAAGTAAGTGCTTTTTTCAGAGAGAAAATCGTTTGCCCTACGACGCCGGATGATGTCCTTGAGCGAGTTCGTTCTGTATGCGGTCTGATGCCTTCTGACTTTGACGATCACTCAATTTCAAGCCGGTATGGATGAAAACGTGTTGATACCAATCCTCTTCAACTTGAGCCAGCTGGCTCCCAATAGAACCCCCATGCGAGAGCACAGCACATTACTCCTTATTATTCTCACGCTACCACCTAAACCAAAGAGAGATGTATCGCAAATACAGCAATAGAATTGAATGAAGAAGTCTTCGTGTAATCACTTTCGGCTCTCTCTCTAAAGCCAACTCGAGTCATTCAAAGGTTTTAGAAGTGGGGCCCTCAAAATAGGGTCGCCCTGGAAGCGAGAATTGCTATCGTCGATAACAGCAACAAGATGTACACTCCTTATCCCTGAGGCAAAGTAGGCGTGGAATTTGAACATTGCACGGAACTAGTTACTCGTGGAATATTCAGTCTAGGACAACTATCATCTTGTTCTGTGTTGCACAGAGACACGACAACAATTCTGTCAAGATGGAAATATCTCACCAGAAGCATAGACACCTTCAGGTTAAGATGAAGCATGCAGCCACGCCTACCCGATCTCAGGGATTTCGAGTATATACATGTAGCAGCACTTGTTCGCTGCTCGAGCGCTGATGGTATTAAGCATTGGCACAGCTATGGCTTTTTTGCCTGAACTCTTCACTTCGGTTTTAGATCTGACATGGTAGACTCTGGCTACGGAAAAATGCAGCACGAAGAAGGACCTAAGCTGGTGAGCTTTTCAATAAATTTTTTGAAGCGATGCAACCTCCACAGTTTTGATTCCAGCTGATTGTCCCATCGTCGCCGTCCTGGTCGAAAGTGAATACGGTAGATGTGGAGACGGGGAATGAATTACGCGGCGTCCTTGTGGACCGTGCGCCAATCAATCAGTGTGATTCGTCAAAAGAAGGACTGTCGACGCCGCTGCCGCCGACGACGACGGCGTGACCGTTATGAGTGCTAGCTGAGTTTGTGTCCTGGAGCGGCTCAAGATTACTATTCACGTTTTTGTTTTGATGAACAGTTACGTAGGCTCGCTGTGATCTCCTTTTCTTGTATTTTCGTGCAGTTGCTCAGGTTGTTCTGCTGCCATAATCATCTTGTTCGGAATTTCATTGTACTCCTCGCGTTTTCTGAACTTTCTATTCACCTTTCTAGACGGGTAACCTTGTCTGCTTTACACTTGAGATATGCATTGAAATCTATATAAAGATCGAAATTGACTGTTCTGTTGCTGCCCCTCTCTAGACTTCAAATGAAAAAGAAGCTGTGGGGCATGCGAGGGTCAAGACTTTATATTTTGGCCCGTCTCCCTTAAGCATGCATTTCACTAGTAGCATTGTCGTACGATCAAAAAGCTCACTCATGAAGGAAAATGACAAAGTTTGCGAGTAAACTGTAATGGACGCCCTTTACAATGGTTTTACATCATGATGATCTTCAACAGACTTTCCCGTAATATAAAATAGAGGAACGTATTTGTTTTCGTGGACGACCTACTTTGCTCCTATTTTGCAGTGCGGTAAGTGGATCGAACATGCATTTACAGAAAAAGCCGCCTCATTCCGAACCTGGGCGCCGCTGTCGGCGAACCTTGGTGATGTTGAGCAGAAGAACTCAACGACGTTTGCGGTAAGTTGCCTATTTCAAATGGAAAATCGTCAATAGGGTAAGGTTTGCGTACGTTCTACCTGAGAAATAGAGCTGACTCAAATCATAAAGCTCAACAGATCTTTTTCATTTCCATACGCTTTTTCCAACTCGCAAGTTCAGTAGCATACAGATGATCATTTCAAGCAAGTGCCACTGACCACTACTTCCATAAATTTTGAGTGGCAGTGAATGTCAAACTGCCTTGTGGACCCATAGTTTCCTTGCTGTGATGTGATGATATACTGGGGCACGCGAAAGGCCCTGCGATGAATTCAGCAAATTCTTCTAGGGAATAACCACCAATGATCGATGATTAGTGTAGAGTGATCTTAAATGTTCTCTGCGCGTATATAATGAAGTCGTGTTAGATTTCGGAACTCTCTTTCACTCTACTTTGGGATATTCTCATTTCCTGCACGACTCCGTAGAAGTCAGAAGCCACAGCACTTCAACTCTTTCATTATGGATGGCCGAAGCAGGCGTGCATGGATAACAGTATTCACAGTTATCACAAGAATGCTGAGTTGTGGGCAAAAGTCGGAGCCACGGGCTCAGCATTCTTGTGATAACTTTCGTATCGCGCACTGCGGCGTTAAACAGCAGTTATCTAACAATAACAGCTTAAAACTAGTATTCACAGTGATACTGGTGGGGGCTTTAAAGCAATACCGCTGGATACGAATAGAGCTGCGACATGTAGCCATGTCAGGGAGGGTAGCCTTTTACATAGTTGATCACTTAGCCGTTATCTGAAGAAGGCGAAACATGGTAATTGAGGTTGCGTGGAGATCAACTGCTTCTTTCATCGCTATCGCCGCACTTCTGAAAGAGTAGGATGAGGTAGCTGCGGAGGAGCGCGAGTCCTAGATACAAATTGTTTTGCTGATTGAAGACGCTGTCCAATGCAGGGATACTCAGCCTGGGACTTTATTTGAAGCCATCACAATAGTGCCTAGTTGTGAGCAAAGGTCGGACCACGGACGGGATTCGTACCCGCATCTTTCGCTTGAAGGGGGATTGAGTTCCCTATTACGCTACCGAAGCCGCTCTTACCCTCTCAGCTATTTGTGCCACTCACACGTTCGACGTGATGAGCCGGTTAGCCGATATTGGCGGTGAACCGCAAGGCTGAAGGCTTCTGCGATTACTTTCGGATCGCGCACTGTGGCATTGAACAACATTTATCAAACGTCAGCTTTACTCGAAGCGTTGCGGAGCTTTTGGGTAAGCGCAATACAGTACTACGGAAACTTGCACAGGACTTCTCTGTAAGTATAGCACCCTTACTGGTACGCCTCTAGCGTTTGCACATACAGTTTTTCCCAATTGGCAAGTCAAACCCGCCGCCAAATCCTTTTCATGGGGTTTTCAGTGGCATTCCTGTTGAGATTTCACGCGACCAATTTACATGGCATGACTAACTCGACGTGGGTACAGCATGACAGATTGTTTTGAGGGGTCATTCACATTGTTATGAGCCAGTTGACTTTTGATGGAAAAGCAGATTTGGGTTTAATTAGTGGACCATTTTCTGACTTGAAGTCTATCCTGTGTTCCTGCCGACAATTCACGTAGAGGGAACAGCTAGGTATATTTGGGCTCCGTTTAATAAAAATAAAGTCTACCAGTTGTTAGCATTGAAGGTTCCAGTCCAGAGACATGTAGCTCGAAGCCCGAGACATCGCAGATATTCGGCAACTGTACCAAAATGATGATATACGCAGCGATCCACGGCCAAGACCACCAGAACACGTGCTGGTCCCATTCCCGTTACTTATGGTCAGCTCAGAATACTTTCCGCATGGGTTTGGAATTGATGTAGCGATCCCTTTTTTGGAAGCGACATGCATTCTACTTCCACTCAGAATCGTAGTGGCTTGTTGAATGCGACATGGCCATACAATGACTGGCGAGGGAGAAGTCGATGTACATGTCAGTGTTATAATATCACCAAACAAACCTGGTACCAATTTACCGCTCCGGGAGAGGAGAAGGCTCGGTTTTTCTGGGAAGGAGCCGATCCGGCAGTTGGTCCCAGAACCATGCGCGCGGTCCACTTCCCACTACATCCCGACCTCAAGGAATATTTATAGGACGAAATGCGCGTCCTTTTCGGATTCGGAGGCTTGGTCAGTTAGTCTCGGGATTCTTTCAGTAAGGGTTCAGAGGGTAAGGAATTTTATAGGTTTCTCGTGGTCTCACTGCTTCTACTTTCCAAAAAAAGAGATTCTTCTGAGAATTGAGGTGTTCGACGTCTTCTTCAGTTTAAGGGAATACATCGTATATTCCTGTCATGCCGAAAGAAGTATTTGACGTTTCACGAAAGCCTTCTAGTGGAGACAGTCATCTTTCTCTATGGTTTCACTACTAATGTGACTATGATCCGTACTGTGCAACTCAAAGGCGCAGTCCGCGATAAAGAGCTTAGGTGATTTCACAGAAATGTAGAAGAAAATTCGCCAAGTGAACCGTCTATGAGGAGAAAATGCCAAAGGAGAACGGAAAACGCAATTGGAAACGCATTCATCAGGCCTCCTCTAGCCTCAAACAACTGTACAGGTAAAAGACCGCACGCTGGAACAATTCCCGTCGGCTGATTCCCAGTAATGAACCCTATGACTCTACAAGAGACATTGAATGCATCCACTCCATGTACTTGCCCGGGAGCATGACTTTTGGCTAGAAGGCCGACTTTTGAAGCGGAGTCTGGGGGCGGAGTCATGGAAACAGGGATGTACCACTGAAGCAACTTTGCATCTTAATCCCTTCACCGTACAACTTCCCGCCGCGAAACTGGCACAGGGTTGTCCACTCCAGACCGCACTACCTTACCACATAACCTCCTGCATTTTCATAGGTCATCGCGGACCGCTCCTTTGAAATAGTTTCTTTTTCGATCATATCTAGCGAAAAAGGTCAACTACGAAGTGGTGGGTCTCAGTCAGAAGAATAAAGTGCTTTATCGGCAGAAGTTTTTCATTTCTGTGGTCCGTGAATCCTCAAATTCCCGCTGAAAGCTTCAATATTGTAACAGTATAGCGCCAGAAATTCGGAACCCATGGCACATTCAGTCTGGCATTAGCAGAATGCGCGAAGAGTCCAGGTTTATCCCTCTTGACGACTGTTATCCTCCTCATCAAACATAAGCGGCAGCAGCTAAGGAAGAAGACGCGTTCCACTCCCGTCGTATGTGTACCGGACAAATACGAAAGATACCGCATAAAGCCGGCCAGGTAGTGTATTTACAGATAAAAGAGAGAGCGGCTAACGAAAGATCATTGAGTAGCCTAGCAATAACAGCCACAACTGGAGTTTCAGCTGGAAAATGTTGAACTCAGCGGGAGTAGCTGAATCGACTGAAACAAAACGAAAAAAGACAGGCTGCGGGGTCGACTTGATTGTGATAGCGTTCCACTCTTTTTAGACACACTCTCAAAGGAAGATGCTCCGAAGGCAGTAACAACCATGGGCTTTTGAAAAGCCGCTCATTCCTCTTGATGGGTACTTTTGTGGGGCCCTTCAGTGAGTACGAATGCTGCACTGCGTGGTGAGACTGAAGTACTTTAGCCATTCTGACAACTCTGAAATCTCATGCTTCTGCGGGTAAAACATAATTCGACGACAACTTCTCAAAGAGTATTGCTTATTGTTGCCGCATAGGTTTTTTAATTGACCCTCGACTTCGACGGGATGGGAAGAAGTTTTACCTCGGAATCGGGGAACATAGCAGCGGTAGAACGTCAGCAACTCAAAAGATTTTCACTTTTCAAATACTATCATATCAGCTACCAATCTGGCATTCTTGAAGACAGCCCGAAATGGATGACAGTGATAACATTCTAGACCAGCTAGCGAATGGGTCATTACTATCAACACTTACTACTACACATTTTTGAAATTACCATCTGATTTTTTGCACGTGAAAAATTGAATCCAGGGACCGGAGGGTAAGTATGTATCTGTGTGCCTTCTCTATACGACCTATTCTCAAACGGCGTTTGCGTTACGAAACAGGCAACGACGCGGTTTATGGTGAAGAAGAGCCATAAGTGAGAGAAAAAGCACAAGTGAGAGGGTGCGACAGGCAGCGCATTTGGTTATGCTAAGGCGTGTGAATGGTCTGCTGCCCCAGTACCTTGATGAAACGGAAACGTTGGTGGTGAAAACCCGCTTTCTCAGCTTGGCACTGAGATTCATTGCTCTAAAATTTGACACGGTCAAACGAGCTCAGAAGCCTTTGCTTGTCAGCATGAACAGCATTGAACTTTCCCCCCAAACCCTATAGAACAGGTTCA